AAAATGTCAAAATAAAATCGAAGGCAAAGTACCTACAAAAAAGTGTTCAAACAAATGGACTATAACGAAGCTTTTGAAATATGGGCACGAGAGTTCATAGCTAAGGAAAATGTATAGCCTCTTAATCTAATGAGCAGCCAAAAGAACACTTTCGAAGTTTTGCGGAGGAATATGCATGCCACAACACACAAATTTGAAGACAGCCTTGTGTTGGGCATAGGAAATACAAGTTTATAAACTAATGGCAACTGCAGGCATGGCAATCAAAATGAAATCAGCAGAAAATTAGCCGTAAACGCTAAACTTGTCTAAAAGTAAGTTAAGATAATAGTCCTACGATGGGTGTCTTCCACGAAGCAGCACAGCAGCACGCAGAAGCAACAGCAACCTCTGGTAGAGGACACACAGCAGATATACTCGTCACATTACAGCCAGCAACAATTAAATGTTGTTCAATTATCTGATTTGCAACGTTTAAGGAGCGGAGGCGCATAGACAATTTCGATGTCAGCCAAGCCAAACCAAGCCATCCATCCATCCATAAGCAATTGCATGCCACTAAGGTATGTGAAAAGGTCAAAATGCTGCCGAGGCTACCTCAGCGATGACGATGATGGAGGTGGCAAGGCAGTGCAGTAGACTGGGTGCTACGGAAATTTTGTCACACATTTCGTTTGCTAAAAATAGCTGCATAAAAAAAGACACAATAAACGCTGTAGTAGTGTGATATCAAGTAAACGCTACAGTGCCGGCTGGCTGGCTGGCTGGCTGGCTGGCTGTCAGGCGAATCCGCAGAGATGACTGCTTAAGTAGTTTAACGGTGGAGGATGGCACAGCTGTTGAAAGAGTGGCACAAAATAGAGCCAGACCAAAGTGCTAGCTAACTCAGAAAATACAGTGAGCGTCAAACATAAGTATACCCTGATGTTTTACGATTTTATTTATTTATATTTTCCATACCAAATTTTTTTTTTTTTTGTAATAAAAATATAGTTCATTCTACCAGCAAAAATCACAAGAATTTTTTTAACAAAACTCGTGAAAATGCTAGAAATTTTCATCAAAATTTTCGTCGAATTCAACAATCGTCTTAAAAAACGTATGCAGTTTTGTGGCCCATTAAATTTTAGTATAATAAAGTGCAAGTTTCAAGTCGCTAAAAATTACCTTTGATTTTTGAGATTTTTTTTTCGCTGAGCGTGTTGCTACCGTCCTACAAATATAAAAAAAAATTATGTTCATGCATTATGTGGATATGTTGCAAGTATCGACGAAATTTTTTTTTTTTGCATTTGCCCGAGTTCTGTATGAATTTAAAAAAAAATGATTCTTGCGGTTTTTGCTATAATTTTTATTAAAAATAACAAAAATTTGTTATGCAAAATATAAATAAATAAAATCGTCAAAACGTTAGGGTATACTTATTTTTTCGACGCTTACTGTATATGTGTTGCACATACCGGCTTGTATGCACTCGTGAAATATCAACCCAAATACATACATACGTTGCACAGCAGTATAGAAAATAGTTATTATTTATTTAATTTTTTTGGCAAAAAAAAAATAACCAAAAATAACTCAAAATTACGGTTATATACATGCGTTCACACACACATGTGTATTGCTTCAAGGCGTTGCTTCTCATTGCTGCTGCAACACCGTCACATATGCTGGACCTTTTTGTGGGCACAGCTTTTTGAAACAACAAAAAAAAAAAACAACAACTCACCTCAAGTGTTTGCGCAAATCTTTTAACAAATTCCAGTTTTTGCGGGCTGAGCAGCACAAACCGCGTTGGCGTAGGAGACACGCGACGACCGCTTGCTCAACATTTAATTTATGCAGCTAATTGCATACGAGAATTGCGAAATATTTTACTTTTTATAAGAACGCTGTGAATAAAAAATTTGAGAGAAGAATAAAAATTGCTTAAGCATAGAATAATTTGCAAACAAAAGTGTATTGCGGCAGAAAAAAAATGCAAAGATTAACACTTCTTTAGCAATAATTGCTAGATATTTCCTGCCACAGCGAGCAACAAAAAACTAAAAATAAATAATTAAAATTCAAAAACATTGCAAAGAACTCAATCGAGCCTAACGCTCATCCCATATAAATAATGCCATTAACAATGCAAAGTAAATACATATATATATTTTCCACATATTTTCACCGCATCAAGTACTCCCTTAAACAATTTTGTCCACAACAACAATAAATGCAATTTCCACAACTGAATCGCAGCAAACAAATTGCTATAATTTAGCGCATTAGGCGCATTGTTTCCAGCCGTTGAATGCCACAAATACTATGTACAGTCGAATGAATGCTCGTAAAAAAAAAATTAAAAAAAAAATAAAAATGCTTAAGTACTCACACTTATTTGAAATACTCCACTGCCCGTGCAAATAAGTAAGCAACAAATATTGTTCATAAATAAAGGTGTTGCATGGCATCGCAGTCAGAGCTGTCAAGTCGATGGTAATTTGAGTAGTTGTAATTGTTGGTTGGCGTTGGCAGTTAAAATAAATCAATGCTTGCGGGATTGCAACTGAATTACGAAAACAATTAGGTAAATACAATTGAAAAATAAAAAAATTAGCATTGATTAACTATTGATTGCGTAATGATTACCGGAGATCAGTTATGCCACCAAACTGAAGGGTGGCGCACTTAATTGCTTACACCAAGACAATCTACGTATTTCAAAAGAAATCGTCATTCTCACAGCTTTGGTATTAAAGAGAAATGAAAAATAATGGAATTAGGGGAAATTAATTTGGAATCTTAGCAGTTTGTTGAGGGAAGGATAAAGTATCTCTTCCATTAACAATACATCCGACCCAAAAATGTAAATGTACAATGTATGTTCTGTACGATCCTCATCCATCAACCAAGATGTATCCAGTGAATCGTCGATGATGCCTATGGTGACCATATATCGTCCCCATCGATTGTGCCCCATTAGGGCCCGTAGATCACTACCTTTTTTGTCTGAGAAGGAATTTTGCAACCACCATGCCAGGTCCTGTCAGGAAACACTTGGTTATTTTTCAGGTGTCAATAGCATACCAATGACTCTCGTGAGTTTTCCTTAAGAGATGTATGAGGTACGCGATCTTTCCTCGCGTCGTAGCCCTAAAATTAGCTCCGGTACAATTGGGCGCTCCAGAGGACAGAAACAATTCGCCAATTCATCTGCCAGTTCATTTCCTTAAACACCGTCGAGTCCTGGCACCCACACAAGCTCAAGCTCATTCCACTTTGTAACGTAGTTTAGTGTCAGCTGACATTCCTGGAATATCTTTGAAAACTTTCGAGCGGTTTCCATGATCCTGATTTTATATCCACCCCACATTTGGCCAATTATCCAGTTGGCCGCTTTCAGTATTGCAAAGACTTCTGATTGAAAGACCGTTGCCATTTCATTCAAAGCAGTAAAGTATCTTAAGTTTTCGTCCAGATGCCATCTAGCTCCAGTACCATTTTCATTCTATAAGCCGTCTGTATAGAAATTTTTCACCGAGCTTCCCAAGAGAGTGTCTGGATCTCTCCATGGTTCTCTTGTGGGAAGTCTTACGACGAAATTTCTTCCAAAGGAGACTTCTAAACCACTCTCTGTGCCCAGAACTCCGATCATCGTGCCAAAAACCGAAAGACTGCAGTCGACACATCGTTTTTTTTTGCCTACTCTTGGATCGCTGAAACTGACAATCTTCTGAACCATTGGACAGGACTTTCCGCTTTGGT